TCCTGCTGAGCAGCACAGTAAATGGGCTCAAAAGGGTTGGTGCGAAACCTGAGCCCCACTGCCGGAGGCACAGCATATCCAAAAAGCGTGGACATCATTCCCTAAGTCTCATGCCAAGCCAGAGTCAAGGAAGGTTCTGGGATGGGTCCCAGCAGCCCTGAACCCCTGCCTGGTGCTCTGGGGATTTGTTTTGGGGGTAAGCTGCTCCAAAGGCCAGCTGCACTTTTGGTCCCTAGCCCACTTCCTCTTGGAAGTGACCTCTCTGCAGCCCCCTTCCCTGTTTCCCTTTGATTTGGGGCTCTCACGCCCAGCAGTGGACAGATTAGGGAGAAATGTGGCCTGGGTCCTGGGAGAGGGACAGACATGGGGAGGACCAGGGAAGGAGATCAGAGAAGATACCAGACTCCCAGGGGAACCTACAGCCCCGACCCTGCACGGCGTATTGGGAGGCCAGGGAATGGGAAAGATGGCCTTGGGAAGTTTCTGGGGATCAGAAGGGCCTGCAGGACTTAAAATAGTTCAGTAAACCCAACTGGCAACTCAACCAGCCTGTCGATGCCACGATGGGCAGTGCCCTGGTGTGTGGAATCCAGTGCAGTGCAGGGGTGGGGGCAGGGCAGGGAGTGAGCAGAGCCTCAGTCCACAGAGGAGAATTCCTAGGATGTGAGGGATCAGATGGACACAGGGGATGGGGAAGCAGGAAATGCCCCTCACTGGTTGGAAGCCCAGATACAAAGGCTGATGGCCCATAGAGGTGGAGAAAGGCTGTGGGGTTGGGGTGTCTGCGGAGCCAGGGAAGTTGGAATCAGTGCAGGAGTGGGTGATGGCAGTTCTGGGCAGTTCTGTTGCAGGAGAACCCAGGGTGCTGCTTTCCAGACCCTCCTGGCATCTGGACTGAGGCGCCCCGGGAGCTGGAGTAGCAGAAGGGCTTTGGAGGCTTGCTGGCTCTTCCAGCTCACAGAGGTGACTCACCATCCCCCCAAGGCCCACAGGGCCACCACAGACATTCCAGGCCAGTCTCCGAAGCCAAGCGAAGGTGATCCAGAGGGCTGGCTGCAGCCTCCCTGCCGTGGACTCTGCTTTAGAAGTTCACTTGCTCTTCGAGCTCACCGGCTGACTCAGAAAGCAGACATCCCTCTCAGAGCTCACTTACACCAGGTGGCAGATTTTATTCTTCTCCTGAAGAGGAGACAAGAGGTGACTGGAACCCTGACAAACTCTGCTGAGTCATCTGGTTTCTCCTGATTCCTAGAAGGACCACCTCCATCTTTCCTCCCCAGTCACATCGCAAACACAGTGGTAGTCCCAGACATTTTTACCCACTCAGCCTCCAGTACCACTCTGGTCAAGAGAGATACTTTCCAGAAGGATCTTAAAGAAAGTATGTATTGGGTGGGCCAAAAGTTTCATTCAGTTTTTTCCATAAGATGGCTCTAGTAGTGCTTAGCTGTCTTTAACTTCATTCAAAACAATTTTGTTAGATTTTATGTGACAGCTGTCATATCAGTGTCCTTTTAAAAAAAGACATCAAAATTGGTGAATTTTTGTGTAGCCATTTTTGTGTGAAGAAAAAAGCAACATTTTTGGCATATAGTGCTTTATTATTTCAAGAAAGGTAAAAATGCAACTGAAATGCAAAAGAAGATTTGTGCAGTGTATGGAGAAGGTGCTGTGAGTGATTGAAAGTGTCAAAAGTGGTTTGTGGGGCTTCCCTGGTGGCGCGGTGGTTGAGAGTCCGCCTGCCGATGCAGGGGACACGGGTTCGGCCCCGGTCTGGGAAGATCCCACATGCTGCGGAGCGGTTGGGCCCGTGAGCCATGGCCGCTGAGCCTGCGCGTCCGGAGCCTGTGCTCCGCGACAGGAGAGGCCGCAAGAGTGAGAGGCCCGCGTACCCCAAAAAAAAAAAAAAAAAAAAAAAAAAAGTGGTTTGTGAAGTTTCATGCTGGAGATTTTCCGTTGGATGAGGCTCCACGGTCAGGTAGACCAGTTGAAGTTGATAGCAATCAAATCGAGACATTAATTGAGAACAATCAACGCTATACCACGCGACAGATAGCCGACATACTCAAAATATCCAAATCAAGTGTTGAAAATCATTTACACTGCCTTGGTTAGGTTAATCACTTTGATGTTTGGGTTCCACGGAAGTTAAGTGAAGAAAAACCTTCTTGACACTATTTCTTCATGCAATTCTTTACTTAAACGTAAGGAAAACGTTCCTTTTTTAAAACAAATTTTGACGGGCGATGAAAAGTGGATACTGTACAACAATGTGGAATGGAAGAAATGGTGGGGCAAGTGAAATGAACCACCAGCAACCACACCAAAGGCCAGTTTTCATCCAAAGGAGGTGATGTGTATATGGTGGGATTGGAAGGGAGTCCTCTATTTTGAGCTCTTTCTGGAAAACCAAGCAATTAATTCCAACAAGTACTGCTCCCAATTAGACCAACTGAAAGCAGC